TGGCGATAGAAAAAAGTGAGTCACCAGCACCATCCGGTTTTTTGCACAGGTCTTATAGGGAATCTCAGCATCGGCGCTCCGAATTGAGCAATAACCCACTGAGCCACTCTATCTAGCAATATTTATTGAAATGTACTTATTTTTTAAAATAACTTTTAATTTTTTTTTCTTTTTCTGAGCGAAAATTTCATTAAATAACCATTATTGCATTTGAATTGTTTCGTTAAGCAACATTTTGCGCATGTTCTTGGACATCGCTCCACACTAATCGTTGCAAGGGATGCATTAGTGACGCATTCTTTGTTCACTTTATAAGGCTTAGTCCTGAAATGTATTGTATTTATTTATCCTTATTTCTAATATTTTCATAAACGAAAAATTAAAAAAAACTAGTAATAACACACTTACACGTCGAGATTGTCCTTTATCTTATCGCCTGCCAATGGAAATAAAAGGGCACACGCGCTGGGATCTACGTCTTGACAATATTCCGGTGAAATTGTAGGACGAGGAGTTGCGCCTGTAGTTGCACACTCATTAATATTTACTTCGTCACTAGAGCTAAACTCGATAGAGAGAAGAAGGATAAGTGAGCCTAGGAAAATATTTACCATAACACTGACGAAAAATCATTCATTTCACCTTTTTATGTCCAAATTATGAACTTTGATTTACCTTCGAAGTGCCAGCAAAGGTTTTTTTTTTGATAATCAGTTAAAAAATGAGGTTTATCAAGCTTTCTAGTGAACTTCCGCTGTTTACAGCATTCATTTCATGGTAAATAAATTTTTATCAAAATATTATCAAAAATGATAGCTTTCAAATCTAAAACTGACAAATATGCTAATTTAAGCAAAAATTAAGTTATCATTTATCATTTTATAGATTGTAAGCGAATCAGTATTCATTAACTATTACCGTTATTATATTACTGGATTTGGCCACTCGTTTTAACCAATAAAATATACGAAGAGAAAGAACAAATTTATAAAAAAGCTTTTCATTTAGTTTTCAAAGTCTTTTCATTTATTTTTATTTTTTACTTTTCATTTTTATATGTGAATTTGAGAAATTCTTTCAATATTTCGTAGAATATTTTTAAATATTTTTTTACGAAATCATTTTCAGTCGACATAAATAGATTTTCAAAATAAATAAAAATATATTTGCAAGAAGACTTCCAACTGAATGAAAAATTTTTCACCTTTATTAAAATTTCATGAAACTTTCATGCGACCTATTAAAAGTTCTCTTCACATGCACACAGAATACATGTTATCGTCTATTTTACCATGCAAGTGTCCTTTAAGAAAATAATTTGCAAGTGTCTTGATGACTCAAAATGTTTGTAACTCTGTGGATTACGAGAGATGTTCAAATCGTACCTAAAATAGAAAAATAATTTTTGAAGAAATTTCTAAACTTTAATTTCACTAAACTGACTCGTTTAAAATTTATAACGGAAATAAAAAAATAAAAATAAAAAAATTCAAAATTCAAAAAATTAAAAAAAACCGAAAATTCAATCAAAAGAAAATTCTTTATGGATTGAACAAAATAAAAGCAAAATAATGGAAAAAAATTATCAAATAAATTTTTCAGGGTTCTCTAATTTTTTTTTTGAAAAATTTTACTTACATTGTTTTTGTGCAAAATTAAAATTTTCATAGATTTTTTGACTAATCAGTAAAATTTTTTTCATTGCCAATAAAATTTAAGAAAATTTCGCGTCCAAATGACAAATGACAATTGCGCAAAAGATAACTATTTAAGCAAAATGGAAATTTTTTTCCCATTTTCAATTTGTGAATAACAGCTCAATTTCAAAATTTACTTTAAGAATAAAAATTTCATAGCGTTCAACAATTGGAAAAACTAAAACGATTTCGGTTGGTTGATTCTATGTCTCATTTAAATAATTTTGATGTGGTGCATATAAGGTGAAAACTTTCGAATCATAACCGAACTCAACATGAAAACTTAAGCTCAACTATGTTTAGCTCAACATAATTTGTGGCAAAAATCTTTTTCCATTTTTAGGCTAAATATTCCGGTGAGCAGAGAAATATATCAACGGTACCTATTTTCTTACGGTACTTGTGGTACTTTTTGTTTTGATATAGAAATTTTAATGGGAAAAAAAGATGGCTCCAAAATTTCAAAGCTCGAAGAATTTCAATCAGCTTTTTTGTTATATACTTGTAGAGCTTTTAGATGGATAATCGCAATAAATTCGAAGAAAATTATTTTAAAAAAATTATTTTAATTATTTTCATCTTTATAAGATTCTGTCTTTCCACAAAAGATAATATTTCCCACTTCACTTTTTATCACTTCCAAACAAATCCTTATCAATTCATATTTTCTTTCCGAAAATAGGGGAATTATAATAAAAACTTTTAGCGAATACCTTTAAAACTCATTGATAGATTGTAACTAATCAAATCAAACATTTTCAAGTTTTAAAATTTAAAATGAAATTTTTTTTAGCGAAATTTATATTCTCATTTTATGACTTACGAGTAATTTCAATATTTTATAATTTTAGTTATCATTCATATCATTTAATAGCTGATAAAATCTAAAATTTGCTTATTACTCAAAATTTTTAATGAAATTTGATTCCTATTTGCACTAAAGCTCACTCAATAATGCTTTAAATTCGAAGAAAATTTTATCACCAATAATTTTATCGATATAATAATAATATTGTGATAAAAAATGAATGATAAAAAATCAATAATAAAAAATAAAAAAATTGATCAAAAGGAAATGGCTAAAAAAAAAGGGAATTTTCAGCTGTAAATTTTCATAGAACTTTTTATTATCATTTCCGAGCCATTCTTTTCCTTATCATTTCCCATTTTCTTTTAAAAACGAAACCATTATGTTCTTTATCGGTCACCAAATGGCTCTTACAATAAACCATTTGTTGCTTGTATGCCATTAATTGCCATCAGTATTTCGGCAATTATCATTTTTATCAGATTATTATTATCTTTATTATCATATCGCTTTAATTCATTTAAAACAAAGAACATATCTAAAAATTTGCTTATTTATACGATAATTAATTTAATATTCAGTGATTAATTTGATTAAATTGCTGACAGTATTGCATCGCTAGTACCACCGTAATTTCTAAATGATAAGGTTCGAACTATTGAAAATAGGAACGCATCACTTGTTATTCAATCTGTATACTCTAAGCGTTTATTTATTTACTCAGTTATTTCTCTTCGAGGAAATAAATATTTTTGATTTTCCTAGAATTTCTTTCTTTTGCTAAAGAAATCTGTAAATCATTTACAAATCTAAAAATTAAAAAAAAAAAAAATTCAGTTATTTACGAGAAAAAAATATGAAAAATAGAAAATAGAATATAATATTCGATTTTTCCCAAAAGAATACAGTGAAAAAATATTATTTGAGAGAGGGAAAATGATAAAATGATAAAACATGCGGTTGATTTTTATTGTGCCGCATGCTTTATCACAAAGTCGAACAAGCAAATCCTTCAAGTACGTTGGCAAGCATTTCTCAAAATACTGGAAAATTTTAGCTGATTACAAAAGGTGATAAATGTATAAAGGTGATATAAGGTGATATAGGTGATATATGTGGTTAGCGCAATTCAGTCATAGGTGAACCTGCAATACCTTTTTTATATATTATATATAATTAATGGAATGGCATAAAATTTTACAAATATTGACTGAAGAACAATTCAATTTTCCACTAAAAAATCATCTGGCCAAGCATATTATAGTTTTTCATGAGCGCTTTTTATTCATGCAAATTCTACTATCATGATTTCATGCATTTCCAAACAATCAAATCTCAATTGAGGGTAGATGAGGATTATTAGCTGTGCACATTTCGGAGAGCTCATGATCTATTCACATAAACCGCATGTTTTTGGTCATCTTGAAAGCACTAATGGCTATAAAGTGGATTTCTGTAATCAATAGCGAAGTTTAATTTATCATAAGCTTATCTATAGCGATCATGAATAGCAATTTTAAAGAACAATGAATTTCCACAAATATGCATTCTTTTCATCGTTTAGGAGATTTAGGAGATTATCAATGATAAAGCGATTAACAAACGAAGAAGAATTATTATTGTCTACTTAAGACGGAAACCAACTTATCAACGCAGCTTTATCAGCTTTAACTTATTGAATTCATCAAATGCAACAGCGCTGAAACGAAAAATTACAAGGTTTAGAAATATATCGTCAACATTTTAGTATGTTTTCGGTTTCAGTGTACATCAAAGTTCCAGAGTCCTTTCTAAAAACAATTTGGCTGAATCCTTAAGTCGCACTCAGCTTGCTGGCAGAAGACTCGAGGTTGATGGCCTTTTCTACCCACAAAGTTTTTATTACGCTGAAAAAAATTAATTCAAATCCTTGGTCTTAAAACGAGTTTTTTCATTCTGTAGAATTCTTCCCTTTTTGCCAATTTTTTTGCATAATTTATTAATTTTAAATTAATTAATAATTTATAAAATCATTAAGTTAAAATATATTTGTAAAATTAAGTTGTTCTAATGAAATAAACGAAAAATAATTCATTATTATTTATTAAATGGTTGATAGGTGTTTTTTGTTTATCAGATAAATAGAATTGAAAATACGATTTAAGAAAATAAAAAATATTTAAAAAACATAAAAAATGATAAAAATATAGAAAAATTAAAAAAATAAATATATATGAAAATTTTTTATGCGGAAATTATTATTTAAAAATATTGTTAAAAATTATTAAAATTTTATTTATTCTTTTTTTCAATAAAATTTTATATTCCTTTTTTTTTCAATAAAATATTATATTCCTTTTTTTTTCAATAAAATATTTTTTAAATAAAAGATTTTTTACAAGATTTTCTAAAAAACTATTCGTTTTTTTTCAGTTTTTCAGTTTTTCTTTGACTTAATACAATACAATTTGTTTAAATCATTAAGAAATTAATTTTTTTTAGTTGAATTTATTGAAATGGCTTTACGATTTCTTGCAAGTTCAAGGAAATTTTCGCAACCTCTACAAATTTTTGTTCGTCCTCTTTTTTCTTCTATTAATTTATTGTTCTATAAATTTTTCTAGTTTATTTCATATTCTATTAGAAATTAGATTAAAATTTTTATTCATTTAAGGAAAATTATTTATTAAAATTTTTCTTCTATTTTTTTTTATTGCTTTAGTTTTGATTATTAATTTTTGAACGATTTCTATATTTTTCTATATTTTTATATTTTGAATAATATATTTCTTTTCTTTTTTCTGGAAAGGTATATTTGAAATTCGAAAATTTTATTTTATTTTTTCTTATAAACTAAATTTTATAATAAAGATAGATTTTTTTGATATGCGATGAAATAATTTGTGAATAATTTAGATTCGAAGTTCGAGCGCTCTTACTGCACGTGAAGTTTTGCAAAATGTACCTGGCGCGGAATTGACATGTTTAAATAATGGCTTTCGAATAGCGTCTGAAAATAATGCTCGTCCAACAGCAACGGTGAAAAATTTCATATTTTTCTGCATATAGTCTATTAATCGTATTAATCTTCATTAAATAATTTCGCTTTTTTTTCCGCTTCATTTGATTTTCTTATTATTTTGATGAATTATTTTTGAAGGTTGGTGTTTGGATAAACGCAGGAAGTCGTCATGAAACGGAAGAAAACAATGGTGTCGCTCATTATCTCGAACATTTATTATATAGGGTTTTGTTTTTTACCTTTGGTCATTTTTTTAATAATTTACGATAAATATTTCGAGTCGTCTTCAAGTAAATCTATAGTTTTTTCCAATTTTAGATTTTAATCTTAAAGTATTGAAAAAATAGTGCTTTAAATTTGATGCCATAAATCTAAGTTGTAGATTATGTTTTAAAAATTTCTTATCACTATAGGCGATAGTATGCGTTATCCTTGATCTCGAGTCCTTCGCTAGAGGCCTGCCACCTTGCGAGCAATATTTTAGTTGTTCCTAGCAGCGCTATTCCGGATAGAGATCTCTGATATTATTGCTCGAATTTGTTGGCGATACTTTTCTAGTTTAGGAGTCAGCCCGTAATGCTCCTATTATTACTGGAACATTTGGTCTTCATTCCAATCTTTAATGATTATTAATGAATAATTAGATTTTTTGATAAGATTTTCCTCTTCCATTACTTTTATTTTAAATTTATATTTTTGTATAAAAGTTCGTGTGTTACAGGGAACCAAAAACATGTCTCAAACTGAGTTGGAGAATCAACTGAGTAATATTGGCGCTCGTTTCAAATCTTATGTTACACGCGATAATTCTGCATATTTTATTGAATGTGCTTCCAATGATGTCGAGCAAGGTTTACATTTTGCTTTATTTATTCAAAAGTAAAGCAAAAAACAATCATTCTATCCAGGAATATAGAATATGAGAAATATTATCTTAAAGTTTGTTAATGTGGCGATGTTTTGCGGCTATATTAGAAATAAATATATTGGAAAATTATCCTAAAAAATGATTCTGATATTGTATAAATTAACTTTATCACCTATTCATCAATTCCTATTTATCAACTGGTTTTTTTTTTCAGTGGTGACTTTTTCAGAATTGTTATCATTCATAAACATTTACGCTTAGAATTTTACGATCAATTATTACAGCTGTGGGCATTCTGGCTGATATTTTAAGAAATAATAATTTAAATGAGGGGACTGTTGAACGTGAGCGCGATAGAATATTGCAAGAATTGGAAGACGCTGAAGAAAATATACATAATGTGGTTTTCGATTATCTTCACCAAACGGCATTTCAGGGAACTCCATTTTCTAAATCTGTTCTCGGACCTACTAAAAACATTGAGTTCGTTTCCGGTTTATATATATATTTTATATATATATATATAAAATATATTTGTTATAGAAATATCAATTTTTACACTTTGAAGCTTTGAATATTATTTATTTGAAATCAATGAAGCGCTTGTTAAATATTCGATGACAATTGACATGTGTTTTTCTAATTTTTATTGGTTATAGGTCAATGAACTTGAAACAAATAAAAAATTTTCTTGAGGATAATTTCAAACCAACCAGAATGGTTTTAACTGGAGTGGGTAATGTTGATCATGGTCATTTAGTTTCTTTAAGTGAAAAATATTTTGGTGATTTGGAGAATACTTATCCTCGAAAATTGCCATCGGTTGGTGGAATCCGGTTTACTGGATCTGAGGTGATCCATTATTTCCATTTTATGGAAGAAATTTTTGATTTTTCACGCTCTTCCCTTTAATATGTTTCATTTCATTTTTTTCATAATTGCTTATATAATTTCTTAAAAATTTTTAAAATTTTATAGTTATAATTTTAAAATTAAAATTTTTAAATTTTTAAAATTTTTGAAATTTTATATTTGTTAAAATTTGCAGTTTTTATATCGAAACGATAATATACCATTGATGTACGGTGCAATCGCTGTTGAAGGTGTGGCATGTGGTCATAAAGACGCATTGACTTTGCAGATTGCCACAACGGTTAAATATTTTACTTAGTATTTTACTTAGTCTTACTTTTAGAACATTAAGTATTTTTTAAACTGGGCAAAACTACAAAAATTCCCATAGCTTGGTAGAACGGTATCAAAAAAATGAAAATTTTGCAATGAAAATGTCGATGAATGTATTGAGAAATAAATCTAATGCAAATACATAAAGATCATAAAAATTTGGCATAAAACTTTCACGAAACTCTTTCAGTGCCTAGGCCAATGGGATAGAACATTTGGCTCGTCTGTTGATGGGCCAACACGTTTAATCCAGAAAATTGCGCTTGATCCGCATCTCTATCAGTTGATACCGTTCTCCTTGAATTATAAAGACTGTGGTCTTTTTGGCTTTTATTTCGTACATGATGGTGCAGATTTATCAGATATAAGGCCTATCGTAAAACTTGTCCAGAAAGAATGGTAGTCGTTTTTTAAAGCATTTTGAAATTTCAAAATCCTTATTTGATGATGATAATGCTTTTTTCTTATTTTTAGGAAATATTTGTGTTATGCGGTTGATGACGATGAAATTGATCGCGCTAAAAATATGTTAAAAACTGAAATTTTTCTCACTTTAGAATCATCTACATCGAGAGCAGATTATATTGGTAAACAAGTAAGAAGAGCCTTTTTTTTATCATAAATTATTCTTCCATTTTTTTTCTCAATGTCCTTAGACTATTGTTTAAGAAAATAATCTTTAACTAAAAAATTTTTTTAGGTTCTCTATACCGATAATGTACGAAAACTCGCCGATCTTGAGCAAGATATCGAAGCGGTTGATAAACATAGTGTACGAAGCGCTATGAGCGAACATGTTTATGATCGAGATATAGCTTGTGCAGGCGCAGGCATAAATATTTTTTATATTTTATTTTCCAAAATATTTTCATTTTTATTAAATATTAAATTAATATTAATATCATTGAAAATTAAATATTTTTTATGGGTAATTTCTCAATTTTTTCATTTCATTTTTCATTTATCATTCATAATTTTTTTTTATTTTAATTTTTTTTCTATTTGCAGAATTTTAATCTAATAATGGAACCGAACTAATTGAATAATTGAACTATAAATTAAATTTATAAATTTATCCGATCTATTTAGGTCGTACTGAAGCTTTTCCACAATATGCTGACGTAAGATATGGTATGTCATGGTGGCGAATTTGATTAAAAATTTTTAAATCTTTTAGTTTTTTCTGTTGAGAATAGTTATCTATAAAATAATTTTTATGCTCTGAACGATGAATTATTGTATATTTTTTTTTTTTTGTAAAATATAACACAAACATTGTCATTGTGAAAATAATTAAAATTGATTATGCTATTGAAAACTATTTGAAATGTTTTATTGCCATTCTTAGTTTTATTTACATGATTATAATAGAAAAATTTTTTTATAAATCATATATTTAATGAAATTATTTACATCTATCTAACTATACATAACGAATTATCAGAAAACTAATAATTAATGCATTTTGCTTAACAACTAAACTAGCAAGTAATTTTAATAAGTTTGGTAATTCTTCAGTTATTTCGCACTATTGTGTTTTGCGAAAGAGTTGCCATTTTTCGAGTTATAAGGTTCGAATAAATCAATCATTAGGCAGCAGCAACTACCACTACTGACTTAAATTTAGGCCTTGGTTTATTGGCAAATAACATATCTCGAGAATAATAAAATCCACGATTAACCCAATGACCATACACAGCAAATACAGCGGCTTCTGATTCGTGGCGAATCTGTAATTTTGATTTTGAAAAAAATATTTTTCGATATACAATATCTTTCCAATCTTATCACTGTTATTTCAAATCAAGTGATACTTAATACTTACATCGCGATCTCTAAATGGTCGTTTACAGAGTTCGTCGTAATCAACCAATAATTTCAAATATTTTACATTAGTTAAACGAATGAAAAAGCGGACGAGAATGATAGCGTGACGCCATAAATTACGATAGTGTTCTTTTAATGCATCGGAAGGTTCAGTTATCTAAAAAATAAAATAAAAATAATAAAATAAAAACATAAAATATAAAAAATGTTTTCAAGTTAATGGAACTTATAAAAACGTAAATAATCGCTAGCAAAAAAAGTTCTCTGAGATATTCTTTCATGCAATATGAGAAAAAAAATTGATGAAACAAACTTTTCTGACTGAGTCCATCCGAGCTATTTTCATCCAAGGATGCTCTAAGCACATCGCTGCTGTATAACGTTTGCTCACGTCCACAACAAGAAGGTTTCGAATCTATGACTAAGCTGATTTTTATTGAGTCTCAATTTGCTGTTTAAAAGAAGGTAAACCATCAAATATAAGAATATAAGAACATTTATAATGGACAAAGGATGCTCGAGTGTTCTTACAACTGCTTTGATTAGCGTCCAACATCATTGCTGATTCGATTTCCTAATCCTGGGACAAATAAATCAGTTACCAAAGAAGTCCCTGGTGATAATGATCCACCTGTACATCGATAGCCGAGTAAACTCCTATATCTAGCCGTGTTAATAGCCAATGAAAAACTAGTCAAAAAAGTTAAACCAATCGTTTTTTTACACTTCAAATCTGTTGATTTTCAAATTCAGCAGAATTGAAATGAATGCTTTTTGGAGGAGTATGAAAATTACCAGATCTTTCGCTTCTTGAGTGATTTGTGCCCATTGTTCTGGACGAAATTCATACTTGCCTTCTTGAATTAATCGCAACATTAACATTTGGCGGCGATGATAGAAAGGTGCATATCCAGCCAAACTAAAATAATAATTTAATTTTAAAAAAGTGTTGATTTTTTTGTTAATAAGAAATAACAACAATATAAGCTAAAATGAAAAAAAAACTTAAAGCAATAGTTAGCAAAAGAAATTAACTATTCACCTAATCAAATTTAGATATCAATCAACGCAAATGTAAGAAAATTGACATACAGAGTGTAAAGTATAACACCTAGTGCCCAAACGTCAACTTCAACTCCATAACCTTCAGCATCTTCATACATTTGGCAACGAAGCGTTTCTGGAGCCAAGTATCCAGGCGTACCCATTAATTCTATAAACACAGAATTAATTCTAAATGTAATGAGAAAAATTGGAGAATATCTGTATATAATATTTTCTTTAGAACTTAGAATAAGTTCATTAGAGCTCTTAAATCTCTAATATTTCTCGAAAAAAACCATTTTTTTAACGAATTATAAAGAATTAAAACAACGATATAAATAATGGAAATCACAGTCAAACTGAAACAAAAATTAAGTAATTTTAAAAATCAAATTTTTGCAAATTCCATTCAATAACAAATAATCTCAGCCAAAATTTTGGTATAAATTTAATAATTTTTGTACAAAAACCAAAACACATCAATTGCCATTTGAAAAAAATTAAACCTCTTAGTTTTTGATTTTCTGCAAGTTGTACGGCGAAACCAAAATCACTAATAACAACTCTTTCATCGTCAATACAGAGTATATTTTCAAGCTAAAAATGAAAGAGCAATTAGAGAATTAAGGCATAACCGAGAAGCACATTTAAAAAAACCTTGAGATCTCTATGAACAATATTTCTTTCATGCATAAAAGCGACACCATCGAATAATTGTCCCATTATTCGCCGCGCTTTTTTCTCACTTGTCGTCACAGATTTATTGAGCAAATCAAACAGTTCTCCTTTAGGTGCCCTAAATTACATACTGAAAAATTATATCAAATGATATAAATATCAATGATATAAATCACTGAAAATTTCTTCGAAAAATTGTAAAACGAAAATTACAAATAAGCAGAAATATTCAAAAAAAAAACAATTTTGTTTAAAAAATCTTTTAATTGAACTATTTCGTTGCTTCATCTATTCGAATAATAAATGAAATAGATTTTCTTAATGATAATAATAAAATAGAGGAAAATAAAATTAAAAAAAATTAAATACTAACATTTCAAACACAGCAAACAGAAAAGTTGGTGTCTGATAAAAATCGTGAATATTAACTAAAATTAACCTGTTATTAGTAGTCACAAACTTGCACTAAATTTATTGTCACCGAAAAAAATCATTAGATTTTCGATGTGTAAACCTATAAAAAAATAACTAACTGATATGAGGATGACCAGAAAGTTGCTTCAACAAATTCACTTCATTAATCGTCTCTTTAAGAAGACGGTGTGCTTCTTGTTCAGGTTGTCTTTCAGTACTTATATCCACAATTTTCACTGCGAACATTGAGCCAGTTCCTTTTTCAACGCATTTTCGTACAGTTGAAGCTAAACCACGCCCAAGTACCTTAAACAGAACTATTTTTTTCAGTACAAATATATGAATTTTCTCGCTTTATAGTAAAAATCATAACCTCTTTTGCTTCATAGGCACTATAAAAACCGGAACCCTCTTCTTCCATATCTTCATCACTTTCTAAATTGAAATTTATTAAACTTTAAATTAAATTTAGCGAAAATCAATTGAATAAAACTCAAAAAAAAGGATATGTTTCCTCTGACTCTTAGAGTTTTCGCCTAACATTTGCCTCCGAGACAAAAAATATTTATTTTGGGAAACATTTTTATAGAAAAATTCTAAATCTCCTCTCAATATACGTGGAACTATCAGATCCAAATCCCATATAGTTTAATTCCATTATTAGGTTTAGGGCTAAAAATATGCATAAAAAAATTTCAAATCCTTGATAAAAAATTTCCAACATTTTGATCTATTAATAGAAAATCTTTTTTTTTAAGAAAAATTAAATACGGCCTTACCATTTCCATTATTATCAGGTTGATCGCCCAAGTAAACTTCAATAACCATTTCTGTTCCTAAAAAAAATTATTCACTTAATGAACTATTCATTATTTCCAGTAAAAAACTAAACATATTGTTATAATTGAATTTTTAAACATTTTTTATCATTCATAGACTTAATATTTTCAAAAAATTTATCTACAAATAAATTAGATATTTTCAGTGGTCATTTTATCACAATTTTTATCATATCAATTTAATAAAATCACTTTTCAAATTATTTTATTTCAAGCACATACAATATGATAAAAAAAAGAAAAAAGCAAAACCGACCTAATAAATATAAAAATTGAATTAATAAAAAAATTTTAAAAATATTATTTATACGGTGAGAAAAAAATGAAAAAAAAACTTTCATTTGAAAGGCTTCGAAATCGCAAGGCATTTAGAGCAGAAAAGCGACAATACTTTTCAAATTAATAATTATATTTTATTGGTTAAAAAAAAAATTATTTTATCGCTCAATCAATAAAAATTTTATAAATATTCTTCGGTATTTTAAAATAATTATTTTTTAAACAATATTATCGAAACTTGATTTTTGAAAAAAAATTCCAAATTTATTAATTTATTTTACAAGTAATATTCTGAAAATTTTATGATGAATAAATGCTAAAAAAAATTTTCACTACAAATAACAAAAAAAACTAAGATTTATATAATTTTAAATATCAATGAATTAAAAAAAAGAAAAGAAAAAAAATTTTAAGAGATTTCTGTCGGAAAAATCAAAATACAAAATAAAACTGAAAAAAATTTCCATTTTTTTTTTTGATCCATAAATATGGCTGAGCGAGTTTTAATCAGCAGTAATAACTATACAAATCGCTATAGGAAAATGATGGTGAACTCGAATTGTTCAAAACTAAAGAAAACATGAAATTACTAGCCAAATTAAAACTTCGATAATTTCCATTTCAAAAATTTCAGTCAATCATTCAAATGAATAAATTTTCATTTAGTAAAAATCTGAAATTTATAAGAAAATAAAATTGAGCAATATATAAATATCATTTATAAACATAATGATTTTAATAAAATTATTTTGCTTAAACTAATTATGTATAACAAAATTTAAATAATAACGAATAAAGGATTATAAGAATTTACCTCTTTTAAACACTTTTTGAATTTACTTTGATTAAATGATAAATGATAAAATGTGAAATGTGCAAAAAATCACAAAAAAAGAACAAAAAATATAGAAAAACAAAAAAATAACAAAAATACCAACGCTATGAGCCGTTTTATCGAAAATTTCAATCTATAATTTTTGTATTTTTTTCAAATTAAATAAAAATTGAAAGGCTTATTTCGATGATATGACTAGAAAAAAACTCATATCTCTGCTCCATACCTTATTTTTATAAAATATCAATTTATTAATAACTTGTTTAATTTTAACGAGAAAATGCCAGATCTCAATAACCAAACGTTCCATTCAAAAAATATCTAACTGAGAAACAATAATACTTATTAGCAAAGAAAACTAATTTAGAAAGAAATAATTTGGATATAATATACAATTTGAAAAAAAAAACTGTAGAGGCAATAGAAATAATCCTATTGGAAAACCACGTATTACTGCTGTGGAATCACAATTGGTTCAGCGGTATCAGCGAACAAGGTGGCGCTTTTATATAAATGATGACATTGCTTTTTTAACAGTGATAACTGAAAATCACACGATAAAAAATTTATATTCTTAAAACTAGATCTGACAATATTTTTTAGAGATAAAATAAATATAAAAAAATTAAAAAATCGCTACGTTAGCCATATCAATGAAAGTACCTCTTCTGAAGTCCATTGACCATATCGTCCAAGTGAAACACCGTTATAAAGTTCGGACAGATTTTTTAGAGTAATCCCACTTAACCTTTCATCCTCCAATGATTTAATCAACCAATTTTTGACAGAACTACTGGAACTGGAGTCCAAACAAATATCGACTTCGGCAACTTGAAAATTTTAAGATTCTATTTTTTGATTATAAATTCAAATTTATAAAAGCTAATGGAAATTCATGAACATAAAAGTTTTTAATATTAATTTATTAAATCCTCCATAAAAAGAAATATTGCCGATTACCTGCCATTCTATGTGGAAAAGAATTTAGATGACTCAATTTGAAGGAATCATTAAGTTCTACCGCTGATCTTGTCGATGGAAATAATTCATCTGTAACCGTTTCTGCCAATTTACCCACAGTTCCATTTAATCGAGCATTAGCATCTGTATTCATGTATTTTTTTATGTTTTTTGTGATAATTTTGTGATAATTAACAATAATTAATAATAATTAACTCAATAATTGTAAAAATTTTAAAACGAAAACAATAATAAAACTATTGCATTGAATTTAAGCAAAAAAATCTATGGACTGAGAAGAAAAATGGAACGAACAAAAGTGCAAATATTTGGCTCGCGCAACATGCAGTTGAGGATTTTTTTCATCAATTTTCGCAGCTTTATTGAGACATTGTAGCATTAGAAGAACCTGATGAGAAAAAATTACTGCAATACTGGATTCTAATTTTGTTAAAATTCATGTTAAAGAATTTAAATAAATAAATAAACAATTTCTCATAAGAAAACAAAAATGCAAGAAAATTTTGTGAATAAAAAAGAGTGATAAAGAAGTTATAATGAGAATAGGAAAAATTTCTTACTTTTTTCTTCCTATAATATACTTCGAAACCTAAAGTGTAAGCACCAAACTCCTTGCAATTTAGTTGTAAAAGTGGTTGAACAAATTTGCTTGCCTCCTCTAATGGATCATCCACTTTTAATAGCTTTTCAGGATCTAATGGCTCAAGCGCGAAACCTTCGACCTCAACATCAACCTAAATCAACGTTTCATGAGTTTTGAAAAACTTATAATTTCCATAGTTTCTATAAAACTTTCTATAAATCTTTGTTTTAACAAAAATTCTTACTTTCTTTTGATTATGTTGCTTTTGTCTAGCTGCAGCCTCCATTGCTTCCCTTGCTTTTTCCTTATTCTGTTTCTTTTTCAACTTTTTGAGTTCGACTGCACTCAGATTTACTTCACCGTTTTGTTTTACCGGATTAAAATCGTCTGGTCTATCAAACATACGCAAATAAATCTGAAAAATAAATCTGAAATAATTCAAAGCAATCATAAATTTGGGATGATAATGCGAAAAATTTAATCTATAACGATTAAATTAAAATGTTGTTATCGCATGTATTTTTAATTAGAAAATTTACTTTTATAGCTATTTTTGCAGCTTCATAATAAAATTTGTGCCGTCGTAGAACATCTTCCAGTCTAAGTAATTCGATATATGATGTTAATGTCATTTTTCGGATACAATATGAGTGAAAATCATATTGATCTTCAACTATACCAACAAAATGCTGAATATGCAAAAAAAAAATATTTTAAAAAAATAATATAACGAAAAAATTTGGTGAGAACAGCGAATAAATTGATTGAAACTGTAAAGGAAAATTTTTCATTCAAAAATGATGGAAAAATGGATATACTTAAAAAAACTTGAAGAAATTACCCGTTCAACTTCATGACATTTTTTCAATGCATCACCATATTTACCAAGTCGTTCAAATGCGCGTGCACATTCGATCTCGTACCACATACATTGCATCTCATTCAGATTAACAGAAGCATTAACTCCTTCCTATAAAAAATTATTCATTCTCTTAAGACAGCTAACAAGAAAAATATAATAAATAATAATAAATATATTCAAAAAAATTCAAATTAAATAAAACAGATCATTATAAAAAATATTTATAACATATGCAGATTGAAGTACGATAAAAACTGTCTTCAATAGAATCTTAAAGGTAAAATGCAAAAAACGATAGACAAATGCAGTAAAACATACCCTAGTAAATTTTGAACAAATATTTTCCGCTTCTTTCATAAGACCAGCTCTTAACATATATTTTGCACATTTGCTATTAATATAGCGATCAGCAGTGTCAAGAGATTGAGCTTCTTCCATTATTTTCGCAGCATCGCGTTCGTCACCAGCATGCTGAAATCTTTTTTTTTAAAAAGATTTGAGGAAAAATTTAGAAGTTTGCTAATTTTTTTAATGGATCCTTAAATGCCTTGATCTCATTGAAAAAAGATCCAATTTAACAATGTGAAATTACCTTGCGAATTTTTGCTTTAACCATATACAATTCGATTAAAGTTGGTGTATGTTGTATAGCACGGTCAATATACATAATGGCTTGTTGCAATGAGCCTAATCTATCATAATGTTGAGCAATCAAGTAATACAACCAAACTACAGTTGTAGGTGAGTCGGGCCGATTATCACCTAAAAAATTAAAAATGATTATTTAAGAAAAAATATTCAAAAAATAAAATACAATAATAGAACCAATAATACGAAAGTAAAAAAGCTTACCATCCAATGAGCCATTCTTGTATCCATTTTCTTCTAAACGTTTGATGAAATCTAGCAGAGTTCGCTCGAGGAAATGTACCTAAATTTTGAAATTTAAAAACTAAAACTAAAAAATTATAAAATTTGAATTCACTGAATCTTTGAATGCTCTTATTTAAAAAAAAAATTATTATTTGTTTCTCAGTAATTTTTTCCTAGTATAAAAAGCTTAAAAATGAAAAAATTAATCAAATTTTTTGGAAAAGCTAATTATGTCAAATCATTCAAAAATTTCAAAATTCGAGCAGTTCTCTAGAAAATGACGCTGATACTGATAAAAATTCAAAAAAATGAGAAATAACTCGGAAAATTATAGAGAAAAATATAACTGAACTAAAGCACTGTGGTGAAATTTTACCGAAATAAGCATTTTTTCCTCAGATAATGGTCTCTAAAATTTTGAAGGATGCCTAACCTTGTCGCTATCAGCATACAAAGGAATTAAATATTTGAAAAGCGAGGGTATGCCTTTTCGCAAGCCAGTTATAAGATAAGAAAGAAGAAGAACTTCAAATTCCTTTCCTTAAAATTATTTTAAATTGTTGAATATTTTTAAAACAATATAAATAGAAACTCCTTTGTATAAAAAAACAGAAATCAAATTACCTTGTAAGAAATAAAGAGGAGCGCTTTTAGGTACTGAAGCCCAAGGCTTCATTGCTAACGCTTTCTTATAAATTCCATATCGTTCTGAGACGTCGTTTTCTTCTCAAATACAATATTATATGAGAACAATATTATATACAATATTATATGAATATTATATTATAAAAAAAATATATAAATAAATAAAGTCGATTGGATAAATATTTTCTTCCTATCATTTCATCATTAAAATCCAATTTTTGAAATATGAGAATAATCCATCGATTAGAAGCAAATAAAACAAAACATAATGCGAAAAAGAAAATTGAACAAGAAAAATAAAATAGAAAACGTTAAAAGAGAGAAAAAGTAAAATTTCAATATACCTAGTCTCCGACATTTTTCTATGGCCTTATAATAAGCAATATTTTCAGGATTTCGCTCGATCAAATTCCAGTAAACTGATTCAGCTTTTTCATTCTTCCCCAAATGCATCAGTAATTCTCCTGAAAAAAAGCTCTAACCTGAATTAAATGAAATAAGATGAGAAAGAAAATTTAGACTAAAAATGTATAAAAATAACCTCGTATTTCCATATATTTAATACGATCGAGAACATGAGCAGCATTTTCTTCAATCTTACGAAGAGCAAGATCGAACTGACCAGATTCTCTTAGAATCATATTTTGATACAAAATAAGTTCGCTTTGCTCGACATCGTACTCGGCAGGCTATAGTACAAAATAGAAGATGTAAAAAACAGAAAAACTATTAATAATTTGATTCTAAGATTGTTGACACGGCACAAAAGAAGCCACATACCAAAAAAGCCAAGTTTATGTGATCAAAGATACTGAATTCACCTATCATCCATGGTAGGGAAGAAGAATGGAAAATGATTCAAATTACAGTTCATAGGCAAGAGTTCCTCTGTTCTGTTACTTCCGATATGATTAAACTTGTCATTAAAAAATCTGAGTGGTGCTGGTGACCAAATTATTACCAAATGACTTCCTTGCAAGAAAATTTTAACCTTAATAACAATCAGTGTTTAGCTTAGCTCAACTAGATCGAGAGTTAGTTATTTAATTCATTCATTCTTAAAATCACCTTATTATTATTACAAAATTCGTTAACAATTTTCAAAGCCATATCGTAATCCTTGAGTAAATGATATGCAGTTGCGTAACCAATCCATGCAACCCTTTGCTGAGGTCGCAACATTAGCAAACGATAGCGAGTATCCTGAAAATTTACAAAAAAATTCAAAGAGTGCCACAAAATTCCCCAATCAGACATATAAGCGAATCAAACTTTTCAACTCTTTGGAAATAATTCCATAAAAAATTTTATTAAAAAAAACGAAAATTTTAATGAATTTAAATTTGAGAATTTTTGAAAAATTTAATAATAATAACAATAAAATGATATCTAAACCTAGATCTAAAGCCACATTAAATAAAATATTTTTTATAAATCAAAGATCTTTAAAGGCATCAGTAGGTTAGCAATTTGACAATTAACAAAAAACGCTTACCCTATATCCGTCGAGATCTCGCATTTGAATTTGCAACAAAGATAAATCCCTGAGTATTTGCATATTATTGCTATCCAGCTTCAACGCTTGCTTATATGCTTTCATTGCTTCATCATATTTTTTCTCGCTGCGTTGAATTAAACCAAAAACATGCCAACATACATGTGAACGTATATCAGCCTGTAAAAAATAAAAAATTTCGGTTTAATTGATAATTTTCGCAATGGCTTGATTATCTGAAGATGAATAATTTAATTTTTGCTCGGATAGAGGTTAGTCGTCTAAATTATATATCAAAACTATGCAGAATATTAAACAAAATCTGATTTTAATTCATCAGATACTCTCTAATGCTATTGACTTAGATCATATGAAATGTTATAAACTTTCAGTGAATTTGAAAAATACTGTTAAGAAATGGAGATGATATTTGTAAGACTAAAGCAAGATAATTTTTTCATATGAAATGCTTACTAATAGAAATTACTTTCTGATGCAGTTTTTGCGCCATTAGTATCCAGCAATTTTTTTATTATAATTGTTATTTTTTTACTTATCAATTTTTTTCAAAGATTATTTAGCACAAATTCACTCTAAATCAAAGATCTCAAAGATGATAAATATTATAATTCAGTTTTTTTTCGTTTTAATTTTTCTTATAATATTTTTAATGCTATTTTAAATGTGCAAATATGTGTTATTATAATTATCGTCATCAATACGCTATGGCTTGATTTTGAAATAAAAAAAATTAAAAATTACAAAATCGAAACGATTATAGATAGTGAGGCTAAGAAGGTATTAATAAACCATAAAGAATGGGTTTTTTAAAGCAAATGAATATCATTAATGCTTTAAAAAATCATAAATTATCTAAACAACTGGTTGAAAAATTAAATGAGCGAAGAAAATTAGGGAAAAACCTTTAATCCCCGTTTAACGCAATCTTGAGCTTCATCACGCTTCCCTAAGCAATTTAAAAGTAATCCCTTCATGGCGAGTGTTTCTAAAATTAGATTTAAAAAATCACATGGTTTATGTTTTAAAATGTTTTAAAAAATAACAAGAAAGGCTAAAATTCTTTTCTTTTGATAGTACCATAAGAATAATCACTATATCAAATGAAAAAATGAAAAATTTCAGAAAATTTTCTGATTTTTAACAAAAATACGAAAAACCAAAAACATACCACCATGTTCGCTATATTGCGGATTCGATAAGATCAATTTCGAACACCTTATACCATTTTTATATTGCTTATGTTCATAATGTTTCTCAAAATATTAAAACAATTTAAATTAATCATTATATAATATATATTGATTTACTAATAAATTTGAAGATAAAAAAATTTTAAAAGAAAATTGAAATAAAATTTCTTTAATCCATCTCCTTAATTATAATATTTAAAAAATTTTTCTATTATTTGTAATATAAAAAAAATGAAATTTAAAATAAAAATTTAAAAAATTATAAAAACAAAAAAAAGTAAAGTAAAAAGATAATTCTTATCTATAAAATTATGAAAATTACATCAATAAATTTTCTTTCTACAAAAAAATCCCTTTGAAACTTTAAAACTTGTGCCGTAAAATCACAAAAATCGAATACCATAAAATCAAATATTATAAAGTATTACTTCGCAAAAATTATAAAAATAATAATTATAAAAATAAAATATAATTTATTTATTTTAAGAAATAAAAGTGATAAATTAATAAGGATAAGAAATTTTAACTATGGACCAATAAAAAGAAAACAAAAAAAAAAATACCACAATCTTTCTGAATAAGGTTAATTCTTTCGGTCCAAGTGGCTGATTACTCGACTGACCAGCCGGTGGAACCATTCTCAAAATGAAATGATTTTGATGTTGCTGAAAACCTGTAGTTTTTTAAAAAAAAATAAATCCAACTTTTTTTAAAATAATTTTTAGAAAAAAAAAGAAATTTCATAAAAAAATACAATATTTTTTCTTTAAATTATTTCTAAATTATTTATTATTATTTCTAAATTTTATTCAATTGTAATAAAATTTTAGAATTTTCATTTTCGATTTTAAAAATTTTAAAAAAATATAAAACCTCTCCAAGAGAGAAAAAAAATCCATTCACTTTCAGTTTAAGCAAATAAATTATGCAAAAAAAATAAAAAATAAAAAATAAAAATTAAAAATAAATAAATAAAAACAAGAAAAATAAAATAAAAATAAAAAAATAAATGAAAAAATAAAATCATTAAGGCGCCTTAGGCGACTTAGCGATACTCGCAAATTTATAGACAATAGAAAAAGCATTGTCTTCGACTAATTTCAGGCAAAAATACGCTGAAATTAGGACGCTTAACGAGTTAAAAATTCGAAAGGCTATAATAAAAATTTTATAAATTATAGAAATCAATGAATCAAATGTCAAAGGTCAAATAAATGTAAATTTTTAGCGAAAATTTTTGGAATTAAAAATAATTATCAAATTCGAAAAATTCCTTAAAATCCCTTAAATTAATTAGCGCAAAATTATCGATAAACTAAATTCCTAAATTCTAAAAAATTTATTTTAAAATAATTAAAATTAAAAAATTCAATTGAAATGGAAAAGTTTCAAGAATACTGATAGATATGAATTCGTGCCGCGACGCGTTTTCCTAATTTTCATTTCAATTTTATTTTTCTTATAAAATTTTTTTTACCAAAGAAAAAAGCGTTTTTGTTTGATGGGAATTAAAAAAATGATAAGAAATGATAAGAAATTAATTGAATAAAAAATATAATTAGATAAATAAAATAAATATCGTTGAAAACGAAGGAAAATAGCGAAGAAATTTTTGAATAGTGGAAAGTTCTAAAGTTTCTGCGTACGCACGCGTCTCCTTATTAGCCACGCCTTCTCGATTTTTTATTATTTATCGAAATTTTAAATAAATCGCAGAAGGGAAAGAATGTCTTGGCGAATTTTTTTATTCCATTTTCCATTTTTAAATCGTTTTTTTTTTTCAATTCAAATAAGCCCTTCTTCCGAAATTCCAAGTGGTACTGGCCAAGTTACTCGCGGCCAAGTAGGTTCACTGGCTAATCCAATAAGTTAGCGAAATTAATTGGCGAAATCAGAAATGATGAGCGCTCTTAGAAAAAAAGAAATTTTGCAAATTTATAACAAAAATTTATTTTTTTATTTGAATTTATTTTCTTCTTTCATTTTATATTTTTTATTTTTTATTTTTTAATTTTAATTAATTTTTAATTTCATTATGATTTTTATTTTATTTTAATATTTTCTTTTTTATATATTTCTTTAAATATTTAAATATTTATATATTCGAAGTATGGGGATAGAATACCTCAGTGGATTGTTCCTCGATTGGGGGCGCCGATGCTGAGGTTCAATTCCCCGCAGAAGTAAATCGGAGTGATGCTGGTGACTCGCCTGTATTTCTATCGCTAAGAGACTCACTGGCATATTGCTCAATGTGACAAGCCAGTGGAGCGAGTTTAACCAGTAATGGTGAGGACTCTTAAAAAATTATTCGAAATGTGTTCTAGGCTTGGGCTTAGGCTTAGAGGAGTTAGGCCTAATCTCTTGAGTGTCTCCAAAGCCTAATCAATCCTAAGCCTTTTTTTGATATCCTTTGAAAGAATAATATTTATGCCTGACAGTATTAGATGACTCAAGTCTCTTATAAAAATCACAGATAGGATCGTTTTATAAGTGATTAATATTAGGTCATATAAATAGATGATAATCTCCGTCAAGCTTGGATCGAAATCTTTTAGCTTAAGCTTAATCAAATCATTTTTGCTGTTTTCTTCTTTTCTTATCATCTTATCATTCTTCGTCTTATCACTTTTCAAAAAGGATTTTTTTTTTTCAGCTATGGCTTATATTCACTATCATGACAATAAGGTTATTATCACAGCATATAGGACAATATTTGAATTTGATTATAATTCGAATATAAATCCTCGTTCATTAACACTAATCAAGTCGATTAGTTTATCTTTGGATAGTTATCAAGGAAAATTAAATGATAATCAAAATGAACCATCAGATAAAAAATTAAAATGTGATAATGGGTCAACGAGAAGAAAATTAGATGAAAACGGTGATGAGATGGAGGATAGCGATCTACCTCAAGTATTTCTTTTTTTATGGTACTTGGTTATCTATAAGGTTAGAGAACAGTTACCTTCGGAGATCCCCGTCTAGTTTAGTTTCACTTAATAGCTACGTATTTTTTTACGTAGAAATATTGTATTATAGTAATGTATAAGTAAAATGTAAAATTAGTTTTTGAAAGTTGTTGCTGGATTTCTTCAAAATTGTAGTGCCACATTAGAAGATCAGAAGATCTAGTAGAAATCATACTAGGAATAATCTTATGTTAGGATTTTCTTCTACTATATTTCATCTTCTCCTATAATAATTATTTTTAGATTTTATTCAGTGTATTATCCCCAGATTCGTCAATGTTAGCAATAGTTATGTCTTCAAAGATATGCTTCATTTATCGTCGATCTGATTGGATTTATCAGTGTTCACCATTTATGCTTCCAAAAACTCCAACCTCAGGTGTTTTTACTTCGGATGGAAATTATCTTATTTTATCAGATCGCGCTGGTTTTGTTCGTCGTTATAATATCGGTCAAAATTATGCTTCAAAAGGTAATTTTTGAAATTTTTCTATGAATTTTTTTTTTTGCTTAAATTTAATATATAAATTCTATGCAATTTCATTTTCTTAAAATTATATTCTTTAATTTGTTGGTTATTATTTAGAGGCAAATGAGGGTGAAATATTGCTCGGACATATTTCAATGGTACTTGATGTCAAATTGTCAGATAACGGTCGTTTTTTATTGAGCGCAGATCGTGATGAAAAATTGCGTGTATCTCGATATCCTCAATCTTTTGTTATTCACTGTTTTTGCCTTGGGCATAGTTCTTTTATTAAGTCTATAATTTCTGCTTATAATATTGCATTTTCTGCCGGTGAATTTTTATTATTTTGTTATTTGTGTTGATTTATATTTGAATCTATCAGTATAATTGAATTGTTTATATTTGATCTTCCCTTTCCCTTTTCCCTTCATTTCTTAGATGTTTTTTTCTTTTTTTCTTTTTTCTTTTTTTGAAATTTTTTTATTAAAGAAGTTGTAATTTCAGGTGGAGATAATACGATTCGTGCTTGGAATATTGATACCGGTGAAAATATCGCTACAGCTCTCTTATCTGTTAATAAAAATGTGAAATTTATCCGTCACTGGAGTTTTGATGTATGCTGATCCTTTGTTTTCTTTTTGTATATCCTTATTTTACTTATTTTTACTGGCTATTTGCTTTAAGCAATCATTATTGAAACAATATTTACCTGCAAAAGTTTTTAATAGTCAAGGAAGCTGTTGATTCTTACTTTTAGTTATTTATATTTATATTTGTCAGTTCATTTTAATAAATTCCAAATTTTTAAATACTTTTTTGATATTTATTTAAAGAATATTTTTCAGAATGTAGTAAGGATTGCAATTATTTTTGAGCAATGTTTTATGATCAAAATATTCGATTTTCACATTGAAAATATTGTGTTTGATGAATTATTCAGCATCGATTTACCAGAGAATATTTTAGATATTACATTCATCGATAAAAAATCTCTTCTTTCTATTACAAGGTAAAGAAATTTTTATAAAATAAAATATAAAATAAAATTTTATAAAATAATTTAATTTTTTTTAAAGAATCTTAAATTCTAAAATTTTTTTTGGAAAAATTAAATTAAATCTTTTTTATTTATTTTATTAAATTAAATTAAGTCTTTTTTTTATTTTCAGGTCATCACTATTCTTTATATTATTGAATAATGATAATAATGTGCATATTGAAGAAATAAAGAATATAGATGGAATTATCGTTATTAGTTTAAATAAAATTAAAGATGAAATATTATGTTTGCAGAAAAAAGTGGTTCATGAAAATTTAAAAAATTATCTGGAAAGGAAAAGAAAACGAAATAGCAAAAAATATATGTAAATGTGTGTTATTTTTTGTGAAATTGGTTTTTTTTATAAGAAAAATTATTGTAAAGTATTGTACTATTAATAAAGCTTTGTTATAAGTTAAACATTGATTTTATTATAAATAATTATTTAAATATTACTTAATAAAAAAAAGAAATTTTTTTTGATCATATTTTTTTTTGGTTAGGCTTGCCGCACTAGTTTGATTCCAAGAAGCTAGAAATATAGACGGTTGGCATCATGTGGATTTTTGAAAGACAAGGTTAATCCTGTTGGGGCCCAGTGGTGACTTCGCTTTCCCTTAATAGGATTTAATTAGAATTTAAATATTCTCAAAACAATATTGATTTGAAATAATTAATATTTTTAAATATGACTTATATTTTTCAAGTTTTTGCTTTATAGATTGAAAATTAAATTGTTTATATTAAGTAAATAGCACCAAATGTGATAATATCAATTATCACATAAAAATGATATTAGTGATAAAATATAAAAAGATCGTTGTTAATTTTATTCATACGAGAGTATTGTTATTGATATGGATATTGATAGGTGTATTTCCATTAATTTCCAAGAAAATATGTTATTTGCAGTTATTTATGTTGAAGGCTCTGCTTTTTGCAAATATGCTTCAAAATTTTTTATAGTGGATTGTTTGATGATAGAAAAACAGTTGAAAAACTAGCATCATGCGACAGGTTTACTTTTTATTCTGCATCGAAAGCATTCAAATATCGCCCTCTCTAAAGTGATAAATGATAAATGACAAGCAAAATAGAATTTATATTTGCTAGTCTTATCACATTAAGGATAAAACGGCTCAGTGGGTTGTTGCTCAATTGGGAGCATTGATACTGAGGTTCAATTTCCCCACATGAATAAATCTGTACAACAAAATCCGGCTGATGCTGGCGACTCATCTGTATTTTTATCGCCAAATGAACTCCCTGGCATATTATCCAGTGCGACAACCCAGTGGAGTGAAGCGAGTTTAACAAGTAATGGTGAGGGTTCTTAAAAAAAAAAATAAAAAAAGTTATCACATTCTTATCACATTATCATTGAATAAAAAGCAAAACTATATTAAAGATGTCGAAAAAAAATAATATAATTAATATAAATTAACGCAAAAAATAAAAATTAAAGAAAATAAAAAATATATTATTAGAATTAAAAAATTTTCTAAACGAGAAAATCAAAAACAGGTTTTAATAAGAAGAAATTGCATTAAAATTTATTTCTTGTTGTAATATAATAATGAATAGTTCAACAATCGATAGCGACCTGCAAATTATATTGAGGCAACAGGTCGAGGAAATTGCCAGAAGGAATAGTGACCATAAGAAATATGCTCAAGTACACGATCGAACTCAGGTGATTTACTCGACTTTATTATCATTTTTTATCAATACTATTAAAATATGGTGCGTTAGTGTCATAATCGCCAACGAGAATCGATGATGAGAATCGGTTCAAATACACCACTCGCACCACTTGCACCATTTGTACCACTTACTGGGTGGTACTGGTACTTCCGCCTAATGGAGAAAAAGAGAATCGAATGGCTTAATGAGTTATTGCTCAATTCGTAGCGCCATTGCTGAGGTTCTATTCCCGACAGAAATAAAACGATCGAAAAATCCGGATGATGCTGGTGATTCACTCGTCAACGAAATCCTTGGCATATTAGTGCGAGTAGCGAGTTTAACCAGTAATTAAGAGTTCCATTAAAAAAAAGAAAGCCACTATTTTAAAGAAAGCCTCGTTCATATAATTCTTCAAAAGGCTATTGTATCTTTGTTTGTTGAATACTGCTTAATATTTACTAATTAGCAAAAAAAAAAAAAATTTTTAAGTGCTCACCATTACTGGTTAGACTCGCTCCGCTGGCTTGTCGCACTAAATAAACATGCCAACGAGTCTTTTGGCGATAGAAATACAGATAAGTCGCCAGCATTATTCAGATTTTCGGGCAGATTTACTCGTGGCAGAGAAGAGAACCTCAGCTTTGCCTCTCCGAATTGAGCAAAAACCCATTGAGCTTATTCTGCTCTCCATTAGTAAAAAATATATATACAAAATTCGATACCTTTTTTTTTTTTTTTTTAAAGGAAATGGATGATATTGTTGTTAGATTACGCGAACTTGTCGATACGCGACTTGAAGATGCAGCTCGAATGCAAGCTCAAGCTATTTCAATTTTAGATGAAACCGATCGTATTATTGCAACAACTTCTACAAATTCTCATACAACAAAAAAATTTTATCATAATTCATTGAAACGTACTCGTATTTATAATAAAATTATTCCTGAAAAATCGGTTTCTATTCAAATTTTTTTCGCGATTTTTTTTTCTCTAAAATTAAGATATAAAATGTAAAAATTATGGGAGAAAATTTGATAAGGAAATGTTTTTAGGCTCTTTTTTTTCTTAGAATTTTTGCTTTCGAAGATTGCCTTATATATACAATATGTACATATCACCGTTGAATAGATTTGCTAGAAAATCCTCAGGAACAAGAAATAATTCATTATCTAATAATATGCACCATTTGAATCATTTTGGCTATTTGCTCTTTGCGTGGAAAGTTATCCTCTCCTGAAAAAATAATTATTGTACTGATAATAATTTAGTCTATGACAATGCGATTTACAACATTTGCTGATGATGAAGTCACAGAGAATGATAAGGAAAAAACAAATGATAATTGGGATTGGATGACAATTGATAATGTTGCAAAAAATGATAAATTTCAACGAAAAAATGAATTAAAATACAATAATACGATGTGTTCTGATAATGAAGCCAATGCTAAAAATAAATCAAAAGACGATGTTCGAGAACTTTGGAAAACTCAGGTCATTGGTGTCTTATTTTCGATATTTTATCATCTATATAAATAAAATTTGCTTTTTTACTACTAATTTAAGGTTAAATTTTAGTTGTTATATTAATGATGAAAAATGGCCCTTAGAAAATTTTTGGCCAAGCTGGAAAAGCTATAAATTTTGGCATAAATCCATAAATCTACAATATATCACTTATCATTCATCATTTATTTATCGTATTTTTAGTTGCAATTTTTTTTATCAATGGTTGGTTTTACTGTTGGTGTTGGAAACACAATTAAATTTCCTTCTCTTGCTTATCAGCATGGTGGAGGTAATTTTTTTTTATAAGAACTATTATAATGGCCAAATTTGGCAGATTCCAGGAATATATGGGAGAATTCTATCCAGAAGAATTCTATCCACTATGGAAAACAGGCAAGATATAACATAGAACCCTCAATTTCTCAGGCCTCAGGCAGAGAACCTGAAGTTTAGATATGATTACCCACCAAGTTTAAATATGATTGCCCAGAAAAAAGAAGAAAAAAGTTTTTTTTTAATGTAATGATAGTGATAAAAAATTTCTCCATTTATATACGTACTTCAGGTATTTATCTCATTCCATATTTTGCTTGCTTATTTTTCTTTGGTTTACCTATGGTATTTTTGCATCTCTGCATTGGTCAATATTCAGGATTGTCAGCAAATGGAGCTTTTTCAAAAATTATGCCAGCTGCTTCTGGTGAAAATTTAAATTCTGAATTTTTTTGACAATATTTTTCAAATAGGAATAATAATAATAGAGATTAATTGGTTTTTTTTAATTAAAATATTTTAATAATACGAAAAAAAAATTTACAAATGGTACTAATAACAATTTATTAATCCCTCAAAATTAAATATTTTTATTGCATTTGGCATTTTTTTAAAATCCGTTGGTCGATCGTTCAACGTCTTTATAGGACCTTTTTTCACTTGGCTTCAGGTAGTAATATTTGCTTAAATTTTAGAATTTTTCTGCTTAAGGAATTTTCCTCAATAATTTTCAATACAAATATTAGTATTTAGTGGATCAAATTCATACGAATGGTCTGTGGTTTTTATAATTAATTGACTGATTAGGAGATTTTAAAAAATATATAATTTTATATATATACAAAATAATATATTTTAAAAATCATTATGTTAATTAAGGAATCGGCTGGGCTTTAATAATATTTGCGTTACCAGTTTGCACTTATTATAATATTATCGTTGCTTGGTCAATCTATTATTTTTGGTTCTCATTTAGAGGATTTTTCACAGGTGGTTTACCATGGAGTCAATGCCATCCAGGTAATATATTAAATATAAAATATTAGATATAAAATATTTTAAACATAATAATCACAATATGTTTTATTAAGAATGGCCTAAGAGTACGCCATGTTGTTTACTTGATGGTCCATCGGATTGCTTTTTACAACCTCACGCTATTTCATCGCCTGAGGCATACTTTCAGTATGTTTTCGTAATTTTAAATAGCTTTCTTGCAATATTTGAAAATTACTTATTATTATTATTAATTATTTATTATTATTATTTCTATGGCTTATTCATTTTAATAATCTTTTTTTACTAATTCAATTTTGCCAAATTTTGCCAAATGACAAATACTGATAAATTTCAATGAATAGCAAATAATGCTTTTTAAAATTTTAAAAATTACGAGTAATTATTGCAATATTTTGGAAATTTTTAAAAAAATTCTCTGTCTTTTGACTTTGCTGAAAATTGCTAAATTTTTCATTTTAAACAATTTAAATTTATAGAAAAATGGAAAAAAAAAAGAAATATTTCCAGTTATGAAGTGCTTAATCGAACTGCAAAAATTTATCCAAAAATATTGAATTCGACAATGAATCGGCATGATTTTAATGCGGTTATTCTTGACGAAAGTCTTGGCCCGATTCAAGAACATTTAGCTCTTGCATTAGCGATTGCGTGGATTTTGGTTTTTTTTGGTGTTTTTAAGGGAATCGGTTCAATGGGTTGGGCAGTTACAATTACAGCAACATTACCATATCTCTTGGTTTCTGATTAATTTATTTATTTTATTTTTATTATTATTTCAATACGAAATTTATGCGAAAATCGAATTTTATTCAAATTTTTTATCGAATATTTCCAATGCATTTTTCTTTAAATATTTTTAAACATTTTAATTTTCTAATTTAGTTTTATTGTGAATTTCTAGTTAGGTATTTTACTTCTTCGAGGTTTCTCATTGCCTGGTGCAAAAAAAGGATTATTGCTACTTTTTAAACCAAAATTTGAGAAATTATGGTCATTACCGGTTCGCTTTTCATTTATTTCATTATGTCACCTTAATAAAATTCTTAAATACTTGTAATAAATCGGAATAGATTAAAATTGGTTTAATTACTTTATTAATAAAGACATTAGCAAGGTGTTCATAAATTTTTCTGATTGATGGAGTTTATTTTTGTTAAAAAAATCGTTAATAAACAAATAAATATAAAAATAGAATATAAAATATAAAAATAGAGAAAAATAAATACAAAAATTCTTTAGATTTCAAATAAATAATAAGTTAATTTATTAGGCAATTTGTTATATCAGTTGAAATTTTTTAAAAAAATTAAATATTATTTTTCTCGAATATTTGCCTAATAATAATAATAATATAACAATATTATCAATAATAAATAATAAACACAATAAATAGTTACAAATGTTAAATAATAAATAATAATTAAATTAAACTCTTAATAATAATGATAATAATAGCAATAATAAAAATAAAAAATAATAAAAATAATAAAAAATAATAAAATAACAATAAAAAATAATTTTATATGTGGAAAGCAGCAGCGGAACAAGTATTCTATTCACTTGGTATCGACGCTGGACCATTAATTTCGATGGCAAGTTTTAGTAGATATCGAAATAATATTTATCGAGATGCGGTCGCTGTTGTTCTTATGTTAGATGTTTTTTTATTATTTTCATTTTTTTAAGGTAAAAATTAACAATTACAACTGAAAGTAAAATCTCTTTATTTCCTTATTACGATATTTTTTATTATATAAATTAATATATTTTTATTATATTTATTTTATATTTATTATATTTATATTATTATATTATATTTATTATATTTATATTATATTTTTTCTTATTTTTATTATTTATTTATTTATATTTTTTTAAACAAATTTGTATAGTCAAATTATAGGTTTTCAGTCTAAAATTTTACTTTTATTTTGCTATTTTTCAGATTTTTAATAGTTAAATTAAAATTTTATATGTTACAGTAATACATTTACAAGTATTCTGGCCGGAATGGTAATCTTTTCATTTATTGGTTTTTTGGCACAAAGTCAAAATCTACAAATTAACGATATTTTACGTAAATTATTATTATTTTTTCTATTTATTTAAATATTAAAATTCATTATTTTATAGAAAAAATTACAAAAATAGTTTAAACTATTAATATTCATGGAATTTATTGATTAAATTTTTGATTTTTTCCAATTTACAGTTTTTTCTTATATATATATATATATATTGTAGAACACGATTCGTTATATATAGCATTTACGGTTTATCCGGGTATTACATCATTTATGGATCTAATGGGCCCAGTTTGGGCTGCGCTTTTCTTTGCTATGTTAACGTTATCAGCACTTGACGCCGAATTCGCATGGTATTTGTCATTTATAATTATAATTATTTATAAAGAAATAAATTTAAAAAATTCCAAATTAAATGATTTTTAAAAAATATTTTAGGAAAAAATTTTGTAGTTTTCAAATATAAAAATAATCTTAAAATATTTTAAATGATATATTTAAATAATAAATAATATTTTAAATACTTATATTTAATATTAAAATAGTATAATCAAATTTCAAGAAATACCGCTTATTAATTATAAATATTGTAAATTTGCATAAATAATGAGCGAAAAAATAACATTTTTTTTTAGCTAAAATTTATATTCTCACTTATACCTCTTTTAATTTTTGTAAAACAAAAAATTGATTAGGAAATATTTAAGGATAGAAATGATAGTTTCGTCAATTATGAAACAAATTGGTACAATAAATCAACAATTTGAGACGAGATTTGTTGCTGGCATTTGTATCATTTGTTTATTATGTGGTCTACCATTAACGACTCGGGTTAATCAATTAATATAAAAAAATTTATCATAGAATTTTTTAAATAATATTGTTTATTATAATTAGAAAATAAAAGAAAATATTAAAAAATTTTTTTAAAAATATTATAAAATATTATAATATTTGAAATATTTTAAATTAAATTTCAAAGAATATCAATATATTTTTTTATTTTAATTTAATATAAAATTAAAAATTTGCAAATTTTTACTAAAATTTTATAAATAATAGTAATGTGATTTAATGAAAGTGAATGATAATAAAATGAATAAATTTATAAAAAATATAAGTTATAAAAAATATGTAAATAATAAAAAATATAATTTGTTATCTTATTTATTTTCATAATTTTGTTATAAAAATAGATTTTAGAAAAAAAATTTTTTTTTTTCAGGGTGGTATATTTATATTTCATGCCATTGAAAATCTTAATGCCAATTGGAATGCATTCACATTAACACTTTTACAACTTTTTGTTATATGTTACCTTTATGGTTAGTAATTTCTAATTTTTTATGATAATTTAGCAATAATAATAATTTTTATGATAATTTATGATAATTTATGATAATTTTATGATAATTTATGATAAATATAATAATTTTAGCAAAAGTTTTAATTAAGGAAGAAACTTGTAAATTTAGCTTTTACTGTGGTTTTTATGTGAAGTGTTCAATAATGGTACTTGATTGATGCTCAGTAGAATAGCTTAGTAGAATGAGAGTTATTACTGACATTACCGGTGCTGTGGTTTGACTCATTGTACGACTAGATCACCTCGTGTGGCTCACTTGTATTTTTATTATCGAGTTCGGCAAAGTAACGAAGCGAGCTCAACTGGAACTAATGAACGTTCGTAGATGCAAAAAAATAACCCACTATCTCATATTTACCCTTTCAGTTCTCTTTTTTAATATTTAATTTTAATATTTAATATTTTAATATTTATTAGTTTTTACTAAAATATTTTAAATAAAATTGAAGCCTACTTATTTCATTCAATTCTCTCCGCATAATTTAAGGAATTAAAAAGAATTTTTAGGCGTGGATAATTTTATTAAAGATATCGGTGAAATGCTTCGTAAGCCAACAACTTTAATTGAACAATTGAAATCGAAAAATTTAAGCGAAAAACAAGCTAAACTTTGGCAAAAAATAAAATTTTTTTTTGGTCCTACAGGTGGATATGTTCGATGGACGTGGTCATTAACAAGTCCATGCATACTTTTAGTAATTTTTCTTCTATTCTTAAATAATATAATAATAATTTTTTTATGTGATAATTCTTATTTTAAATATTAAAATAATAATAAATTTAGGAATAATTTTATTTTTTTATTCCTTACTTTATTATTTTTATTATTTATTATTTATTTTTTAATTTTATAAAAGAATTTTTAAATTAAATCTTAGTTTTAGTTCTTACTGATTGCATCAATATTAAGCTATGAACGTGTTACATTGGAAAATAGACCGTTACCTATATATTATGAACTGATTGCATGGATAACAATGATTGGACCACTTATTACTGTACCTATTGTTACTTTACATACGATTTATTCAACGTGGAAAAAAAAACTTGTGCGTCTTATTTGAAATTTATTTATCTTGAAAATCATCATTCTGATAGAAAGGAAGTACCACTACTATGCCATTGCTAATGAAACTTAGCGAATTTCTGATAGAATATTTTTATGATTATTTATATATCTATTTATAAAATATAATATAAAAAATATAATATTTTTATTAAAAACGTATATATATGAAGACGCATTTTTCTTTCAAGAGCATAGACTGATTTGGTAATTTTACCATCTTGCTTGGTTTTCATGGCTTATGGTTTATAGTTTTTTTTTTTTTTTTTTTTAAAGAGCGCTCTTTATTACTGTCTCTTAGACTCGTTTCGCTTAGAAATACAAATGATTCGCCATGCGATATGGCTTAGCTTTGCCTTCAAATTTATCCAAATTATTAATACTATTTTCATGAATTATAGCCTTTGAAAACTTTAATCGACACTAGTAAATGGCGAAACAAAAAAAGCGCAGATAATTTATCAAAAGTCCAATATGTCGAAAATGATGATCCTTATTATTGGGTTTGTCCACTTTTTTTTTTACTATTTGATTTTTTTTAAAATTTTATTAAAATTAAAAATTAAAATTTTTTTTTTGTTCATTTTCTGAATGAATGCTCATTCATTTATAATTCTGGAATTTTGAAAGGAAACTATCGATTTGATAATATTTTATAATATACTTGATAATATATTTATGATAAACCAAATTTATTATTTTTGAAAAAAAAATTAACATATCCAAAGTATATTTGATAATATACTTTGACAAACTTTTATTTTTTAACGATAAATTACTTGTTTGTTTATTTGTTTGTTTTTTTAACAAATATAAAATTATGAAATTATATATAAAAGTTTTTAGTCGATAGTTGATCCGATTTCTCGAGTTGCATCATCACGACGACCTAATGCTATGTTTGTTGATGATTTTAGTTATGAAAATATGTTAGAATTTCTTAAAGATTTGAGAAAAAACAACGAGACAAACGTCACAAATCAAATAAATAATTATGAATGCATTCATGAAAATATATTTCAATTATCTCAGTTTGTGTTAAATTTCAATTATAATTTTTTGATACTGATTTCCAATTTCGATATCATATTATTATCATATTATCATATTATCATATGATTATCATAATGGCTTTCACAAAAACAGATACCATATCTCTAATTACTAAGGTGTATGATTGATGGCGTTGAAAGAGAAAAGCGCCAATTAGTATCTAAACTAATACCTAAAATAGTTAGAAGAGATTTTGGAAGTATAGTCAATGCAGCAATTATGCTGTATATCTTTTTTCAAGTATGGGATCAGATCAAGCGGCCTGGAAATATCTCATTATTGTTATCAACCCAACCAGTAAAAAAGACCAGTAAAAAGTTGAAGAAGTAGAATATTGTTATAATTTAATCATTTTTAAATTTAGAATTATATAAATTTTTTATGCAATTTCAGAATTAAGAAATGAATCTAAAAAATCAAAATTCAGAGAGATCAAAATGGATAAAGTTCGATCAAATTTACCAAGAAATAAAAATCTATCATTTTTTGGGACATCACCGACATTTAATTCATCAAAATCTGATAAAATAACTCAACAGCAACCTCGTTATGCAAGGCGTCATTTAAGTTGCTTATCATTACAGGTGATAAATTTAAGCTTTTAAGCTTTTTTTTTAGCAAATTAAATGATTTGAAATTTGGTAATCTGATTTTTTATGATTTGGTTAACTTTGGATATGTTAATTTTTTCAAAAATAATAAATTTGGTTTATCATAAATTTTCAGTTCAGAAGTTCCTTTCTCCCTCTCCTTCTAACCCCTTCCTTTTCCCTTCCTTTTCCCATTATAATGATAATTTTTTTTTATTTTTAGCAGCAAAAATATTTGAATGATAATCAAATTAACCATGCAAATACATCAAAGATGTTTAAGGTGTCCTCATCAGGAGATTTAGCACGGTAAATTTATTTCATGTAAAAATAATTTTAAGAGAATTAATTATATTAGTTATTTAATATTTTGATGGAATGATATTTTATAAATTATATTTTAGCTCATTATCTCCGCAGCGATTTTTGACGAATAATGCACCATTAGGTGCCTTAAAGCAATTAGATGTAGTACATAAATCGAATAAACAAGATCAATGTGAGGAATCAGCACAACGAACAGCAAAAGATGATAAATCATTAGATCAGAATCAGACAGCTTATTTAAAGGAGGAAAACTCGCTTGAAAATCTATTAAGGCGACCTTCACCTATTGCATTTTCTTCATTGCTTGAATAAAAGTTTTTTTTTTCTTTGATAATCATATCAGTGTGAAATACACCAATATTTTGGTTTTTTTTCTATCAGTTATTGATTAGCTATTGCAATTTATTCACCGTAAAATCACCATAAAAGTCCGTCTACAGAAGCTACGAATCGCTCGATCTTGCTACATGGCTGTGAAAAATGATGTGAGTGGAGAATTACGAAATTACCTTCGACCTTTTTGACCACTCATATGTAAAATTTATTTTACGGATTCGTCGAATGGATAAAATCTTATATGATCACATCCACCTTCGCTCCTTCGCTAGGCATGTTTTTCATAATCCAGCACATACATTTCATTATTTGCTAAACCCTGTGACAGGTGGCATCAATAGGTGGACCAGTCAAGATCTGCATTCAGGAAAATCTTTGGCAAATCAGCAAAATATGAGTTTAAACAATGGAAAAATGAATAACTTATGATGGGAAACCCTAATTGAAAAAAAACTTTATAGGTATTTATATAAGATTTGGCAATGCATATTGTTAAATTATTAGGAGATTAATTTAAATTAAATTTGTGAAGATTTGTAAAAAAAATTCAATTATCATGAACAAAAGATTTCAAAATTCTCAATAAAGGGTAATCTTCTCTTTATTCTGAAATAGGTTAGGCTAGTTCCACTAGCTGGAGCACTGCCATGCTGCTCGGTCCAATGCCATAGTTGAAATTAATAGAAACCACCTTCTTTTTCCATCTTTTAAGCTAACAATATCGCTAAACCCCTTAGGCATTCAAAAATCTCTCTTAATTAAATTTAAATTTTTGCAATCAATAAAAAGTTTATTACAATTGATCCATATTTCGCATTTTTATTGTTCACTTTCATAAATAGAAACAAAAAAATTAAAAAGAAAAATTTTCTCCTAAAAACTGGACTAGCGAGAATGTTGCGGAATAAGCAAAAAAAAAAATCAAATTGTATTTGCTGCCCTTTTTCTAGAAATTTTAAATTGATGACTTATTGTTTAAAATTCAATAATTTTGTTGATTAAAAGACTAAATTTTCGGCTGTAATTATTATTTTTCATTTATTAAGATAAACTGATAAACTGATAAGGGAATTTCGAAAACTGATAAAACTGATAAAATTTATAATATTGATAAAAATCTAATTATAGGTGGTAAGTATAGTGTGATAAATGCAGTATGCAAATTCTTAACATTTTTTAAAGAAGGATTATAAAATATTTCCTATTAATATATGCAAAATTTTATATATGTTCTATCAAATTAAAGTGCAAAATGCGTTAGTTTTGAAGTACTTGAAACTGAAATTAGTGCCTGAAAGGCCAGTGTATGCCCTACAGCAAGTAAAGTGAAAATGATAAAATGATAATATTTATCTTATCAAAATAGATTTACCTTATCTATGTTCCACTAAGTAATTGAATAATATCTACAATTGAGCAAATGCTACTGATAATGGCATTATTCATGTACAAAAAGACTATTCACCAAAAGCAATTATTCGATAGCGTTCGGTATTGTTCGAAAATGATTGTCATAGTAATCCTTAAAAGATATAAATGGAAGATTATATAGCTTGGACTGCCGATTTTCTCAATGAAAGATAAAGATACTGAACAATTAAGAAAAAGTGTTAAAAAAAATAAAGTTAATTTTTGTAATGATTTATAAAAAATTATAATAAATATATATAAATATATAATAAATATATATATAGGTTAATCGATTCGATATTAAAAAATATTTTATATTTACAAAAAAATAGCATTAAGAATATTTTAATCGATTTAAATGGGCGAAAAGCTAATGAAAGCCAATATGCCATATCACCTTGAAATTATGTAGTTTTTTTCTTTTCTCGCAACTTTTATATAAAATACTTTTTTTTTAGATAATAAATATACTTGCAAAATTCTTATTATAAACTATAAAAGAAAAATTTAATAAAAGAACAATAAAAGAGAAATTTTAATGCTTTAAATAAAAAATAATGAAAAAAACTAAATTTTTATTTTTATTTTTATTTCGATAAAAAAAAATTTCTATGAATCACATATTTATACAAATAAACATTAATAATAAATAAATTATATGTATATATATTTAAAAATTAAAGAAAATTATCGAATAAATTTCCACCATGGTCGAACAATTGCCTTCATTTGAATCGCCTTCAATTTGTGATGTTGGTAATTTACGAATTAATGAAGATTCAATAGATTTGAAACTTAAAAAATTTCGATTTATTTACCAAATAAGTTGGTAAGTATTGTTAGCGAATTCATCTTCCTGGGATCTGAAGCAGAGAA